AGAGAAACCATAATTGCCCCAAGTTTGTTACTCTGTAAGATTCATGCAAGACCCTGGATAATGCCAGGGAGTCATAATTTACTTCTTTTAGGCTAAGAAACTGAGACTTTGGGGGATTTATAGAATGGTTTATAGATGCCACTCTGTCGATGAGCCCAAATTACTTTATGTTGATCTTGAGATCTCTAATACCTGGTGTAGCATAGACATTTTTCAAAGGTCTGCTTGGGCAGTATGAACAGATAAAAAGTAGTAAACGGGTTAATAGTCTCTTACTGGTCCCCAAAGCCATATGAGTCTGACCTCAGATTTTAATTTTGTCACCATGAAAAGCTCTTATTAAGTGGTTTCTGTCTGCAGATGGTGACATGCATTCAAATCTTCACTCCAGGAAACCTTGGGGAAATAAGTCACTCTTAGAAGCTTAATGCTCTGGATAGCTACAGGTTTGTTCAATTATACATTAAATCTTTATTTTTAAAAATCATTTTAGTTGGAAATTATTCTAAAATGAATTGTGCCCTTCTTTTTAGTTTGTTGAGCCTAATTTAACCTTTTCTCAATGACTGAGATCCTTGTGTGTGTGTGTGTGTGTGTGTGTGTGTGTGTGTGTGTGTGTGTGTAAAGGATACAAAGTTTCATGGGCTTTTTAGTCTATTCTTAACTCCATTTTTCCCACAAGACCGTTTTTAGTGCATAATTTTTACAAAGTGCAGGGTTTTCAGGAATGAAAATCGTTGTATATAAATGCCTGGAGTTAAGTCTGTGGGTCACAGTCATAAAAGGTTGCACTAGGTAACTCCTTCCTCCTGCTAACAATACTTATATTTGCATAGTACTTGACTGTTTGCCAAGCCTCTATACATATATATGGCCTATGATAAGTAAGCCAGAAAAGGTATTAATTTTTTGTTGTTTTTAAATACAGTAAGCAAGCATAATGGAACCAGAAAGAGCATGGACTTTCAAATTAGACAGTCTTTAATTTTAGCCTTTCCATTTAGTAGCTATGTGACCTTGGATGCCTTAATCTAACTCAGTTAAGTTCAGAATCTCAGCTTTTTTTTTTTTTTTTCCAACTAAATGGAAAATACCAGAATTGTTGGGTTCTTTAAATCAAGTAATGAAGGCAAAAATGCCTGCTAGGGACAACATGGATGAACCTCACAAACAAAATGTTGAGTGGAAGGAAGTAGACATGAAAGAGTACATGTGGTATATTTTGTTTATATAAAGTTCAAAACCAGCAAAACTGTTCTGCAGTGACCCAAGTCAAGACGGTGCTTTCTCTTGGGTGGACACAAAGGAGTACTTCTTTGGATGCTAATAACAATCTCTTGGTTTGGAGACACACTGTGAAAGTTCATTGAGCTTTATACTTAATGATTTGTGTACTTTTCAGTATGTATGTTATACTTTATTAAAAAGTCATTTTTAAAGTGCTTAGCACAGAAACTAGCACATAGTTGATGCCCTTCTCCTGTGCTGGTTCCGTAAGTTAACAATATGAAAGTCTATTTAACAAAATGATCCTAGCCTCTTTTCCTTGTAACCTCTCAGTTTCTTTGTTCTGTTATGGTTGTCTGCCTCCTGATTCCAGTCTTATACCTAGGCATGTTTAATAAATATATATGGTGGTAATCCCAACTGGTGTAGCTGAAGGAGTTTAGATCAGTCAGATAAGGTGAAATTGAATGTCTTACCACTGTGATTTAGGAGTAAATCAGCAATATGAATTCTGATTTGATGTTATTCTCTGATGATTACTTGATTTGATGTTTTTAAGTGGAAATTAAATGGATTTTTTTAATTTTGCCGATACCAGATCAACTTCATTATTGAGTTTTTTTCATGGTGGGACATTGGACTTATTCTCTTACTTCTGGCACTTTTAATACAAGACAATTATAGTGTAGCAGGCTTTGAAATAGTCACTGTCACACCCTGTAACACCTCATGTGTTTTGCTTCAGTTCTCATCACTGAAAGGGAACCATAGGTATTGTTTTTACCTTATTGCTTTGTACTACAAGTATAGAAACAGAACTTAGATACTTGGAAATTTGTGCAAGGTCTTGTTATTAAAAACTTAGAATTGTTGAAAAGTCAATTAAAAAAACTCAGAAAGTTATTTTTTCTAATATAGGCAATGTGTAGGATATAAAATAAATCTATGACAGTCTCTGCCCTCAGGGAGAGTAGATTCCTATAGGAGAAGTTTGTGAGATAGGAAGAAAATGAATTTGTCTACATTTACTTTTGTTCTTTTGGATGTTGTTAGTCTTGGAGAAAAGACTTGGACTTTCAAAGAGAAGTTTTCTGACAGAGATACTAGCAAGGCCCTTCAATGCACAGAGCTGTGGTGATGACTGTGTGAATGCCAAGGGAGCCAAGACTTCATTAGGGGTTAGTAATGTGACAAAAAGCTAGGGAGGCAGAGAAGGACCCCTACCTATCACATACTTACTTACATCCATTCACTAAAATAGATAGTGCTATTCAACCCTCACAAACCCTTTGGAGTAGACACTATTATTTCCACATTAAAGATGCAGAAATTGGGGACGCCTGGGTGGCTCAGTCAGTTAAGCGGCTGCCTTCAGCTCAGGTCATGATCCCAGGGTCCTGGGATCAAGTCCCACATCGGGCTCCCTGCTCAGTGAGGAGCCTGCTTCTCCCTCTGCTTGCCGCTCCTCCTGCTTGTGCTCTCTTTCTCTGACAAATAAATAAAATCTTAAAAAAAAAAAAGATGCAGAAATTGTGGCATTTAGACATTTAGTAAGATAGCTTGGAAACCTGCAGAATGGGAGGTCGTAAAGAAAACTGATGGCTGGTTGCATCTAGGATTACCCAAGAAAGAGAATGCTATGACTCCAGAGCTTAGTTTCTTTTAAATCCCTGTGAAGCTTTTTATATTTCTCTTGTGAGATGGTTGAATGGGACTGTGATGCAGATCCACCTGTTACCTGTTTGTTTTCTTTCTTTTTTTTTTTTGTGGTAAAATATATGTAACATAAAATTTACCATTTTAACCACTTAAAGGCATTAAGTACTTTACAGTGTTGCGTAGCCTTTACTACTATCTCCAGAACTTTTTCATCATCCCAAGCAGAAACTCTGTACCTATTAAATCATAACTCTCCATTTCCTCCTCTGCCCTGCCCCTAGTACTTCTACTTTCCATCTCTGTGAATTTGCTTACTCTAGTTACCACATATGAGTGGAGTCATACAATATTTGTCCTTTTGTGTTTGGCTTATTTCATTTAGAATAATGTTTTCAAGGTGTGTTTCTGTTGTAGCAAGTATCAGAATTGTATTCTTTTTTATGGAATAAAGATTCCATTGTGTGTATAAAGGACATTTATCCATTCATTTACGGATGGGCGTTTGGATTGTTCCTTTCCTTTAGCTATTGTGAATGATGTTGCTATGAACATGAGTGTACAAGTATCTGTTTTAGTCCCTGCTTTCAGTTCTTTTGGATATATACCCAGGAGTAGAATGCTGGATCATATGGTAATTTTACGTTTATCTTTTTGAGATTTTCCACAGCAGCTGCATCACTTTTCATTCCTAGTAGCTATTCGAAAGGAATCTAATTTCTCCACACTCTGGCAACACTTGTTATTTTTGTTTTCTTTTCTTTTTTTTAATGATAGACATTTGACTGAGTGTGAAGTGGTATCTCATTCTGATGTTGATTTGCATTTCTGTTATTGATTAATGATGCTGAGTATCTTTTCGTGTGCTTATTGGCTATCTGTATATATAAACAGAAATGTCTATTCAAGTCCCTTGCCCGTTTTTAATTGGGTTGTTTGAGGGTCTTTTGTTGTTGAATTGTAGGAGTTCTTTATATATTCTAGATATTAATCCCTTATTGGATATATAATTTGCCAGTATATTCTCCTATTCTGTATAGGTTGTCTTTTACACTCAGATAGTGTCCTCTGATGGACAAATGTTTTTCATTTTGATGAAATCTAATCTAATCTTTCATTGTTTTTCTTTCATTGCCTGTGGTTTAGATGTTATATGCGAGCATCATTGTCAAATCCAATGTCATGAAGATTTTCCCCTGTGTTTTCTTGTAAGAGTTTTATAATCTTAGCTCTTGTGTTTAGGTCTTTGGCGCATTTTGAGTTAATTTTTGTATACAGTATAAGGTAAAAGTTCAACTTCATTCTTTTGCATATGGGTATCCAGTTTTCCCAACATCACTTGTTGAAAAGAATATCCTTTTCCCATGTATGGTCTTGGCACCTTACTTGAAAATCATTTGACCGTATATATTAGGGTTTGTTTCTGGGCCCTCAACTCTGTTCCATTGATCTGTGTGTCTGTCCTTATGCCAGTACCACACTGTTCTGATTACTCAAGCTTTGTAGTAAGTTTTGAAATCAGGAAGTGTGACTCTTCCAACTTTATTCTTCATTTTCAAGATTGTCGAAGCTATTTGGGGTCCTTTGAAATTCCACATGAATTTTAGGATGACTTTTTATATTTCTGCAAAAGACATCATTGGGATTTTGAGAGAGATTGCATTGAGTCTGTAAATCACCTTGGTTAGTATTGTCATCTTAACAATGTTAGTCTTCTAATTCATGAATACAGAATGTCTTTTCCATTTATGTTTTTTTTAATTTCTTTCAGCAGTGTTTTGTAGTTTTCAGCATATAATATTTTACTTCATGTGGCTGTTATATTTCTCACAATAAATTAATAAGTTAACATTCTTATTTACCCATCGTTGTTTAACGATCTGTAGAACTGCCCTCAAGAATATATTCTATTTTTAACAGAATCAGTGTTCTGAACCCACAAAGCTGAGGGGGAAGGATCCTGGAAATTGAAAATCTATCTAATTTGCTGCCTTTGGGAAGCCCTGTCTGTATGTCCAGCCTGTTGGTTTCCTTTGATAAAAACCTAATTTCACTGTGTGTCTTCTTTGATCTACAGTAGTTCACATTTCTAATTTTTTTCTGTCTTTTGCTTCCAGATTTCTCCATCTTGCTAAGGAGGAACGCTTTCCTATGGGATATAGCTGATGGTACCATGCAAAAATCGGATCCTCGAAAAGGTCAGAACCTGTATTTACATGTAATAGAAATAGAGAGTTTTCCTCTATTAGGTTGTATATGAATGTATGTGTCACAAAAAGCGATTAGAGCGAATAAAAGAATCTCACCCTTTCCTGCCAACTTAATCCTGCAATTTTAAGAAATCCTGCGTGTCGTTTATACAGCTCTTTATAGTTTGCAAAGTACTCTTCACATAATTGTCTTACATAGTCTTTACAGTAATCTTGTGAAGTAGGTACAGTTGCTATTACTGTTTTATGGAAACAATGAGGGGTTAAGAGACTTATTCAAAATCATGTTACTATGTGCTGTACGGTTTAGTTCTAGATTCTTTGCCTTTAAATCTTTTTCTTCTCACTGCATCACAAGTTGATGATCAGTATCAGAATTTAGAAGGCATGTAAGTATTAAATATGGCAGCTGTATGAACATTGGAAATAATGTATGTAAAAGTCTGTGAAAAAACTTAAAATCCCTTTATGGATGTAAAATATCATTAATAAGTCAGATCTTGATATTGAGTGTCAAACACTCTTTGAGATGACACCAGAAGCCTCAGTATGTAATATACCTTTGTCTTAGTATGGCACATGAGGCTCTTCGTTTGCTGCCTACCTGCTTTTCTATTCTCATCTCCCTTTATCTCTGTAGCTTACCCTACCCTTTTCTATCTATAATAAACTGTTGGCTGTTGTCCAAACACACTGTCCATTTTCATGCCTTAGTACCTTTGTACTATATTCCCTTTGCCTAAAATGCCTATTCATCTTTCTTCTAACAATCCTAGCTCAACTTCATCTCTGTGAAGCTTTCCTCACTTCCCCAAGCAAAGTTAATCATTCCTTTCTGTTTTCCCAGAGCACTTTGTATAGCAAATCTCTATGAGAGCAAAAATCACATTATGTTATGTTTGTGTATTTGAATTGCTATCTATCCTACTAATCTGTGAGTTCTTTGTGAGCATAGGCTAGGACTTTGTCTTTGTGTCCTTAATGGCCCTCATTACTCCTAGGCTTAGATACATTTTGTTTAAAGAATTAAAGACTAGCTCTCCTTAAAGGTTATGTACACCAATCTTAGTGGAAGACTGACCATATACAAATACTTAGAAGCTTGTAAATAAATATGGTACATGCTTGAAGTAGAACAGAGGGATGATCAGAGCCAAGCAGAATTATTTAGGGAAGAATTCCTCTAGATCAGGGTTTAACAAACTGTGGCTCATAAGTCAAATCCTTTTGGCTGCCTGTTGTATAAATAAAGGTTTTTTTGGAACACAGCCATGTTTGTTGTTAATGTGTTACCTATGGCTGCTTTCATGCTACAGTGGTGGAGTTGAGAAACTACATGTCCCATAAAACTGAAATTATTTACTCTCTGGCTCTTTACAGAAGTTTTCCAAACCCTGCTTGAGGAGATGGGTTTTGAATAGAGGTATGAAAGAAAACGAAGGTGAATTGGTGAAGCCTGAGTGTGTATCATAATGTAATGAAAACAGGCTGAAGTAGTAGGTATGCTAAGTGAGAAAGTTGCACTTTAATTGGGTTTGTCAGAGAGAGCTATGTTGAAGTGTCAAGAATGCTTTGGATTGATAAAGAGGAAACATAGAAATTCAATAGAAAGAAATTACCAAGTAAACGCTTTGGGTCTGTAGTAAAACAGTTTCCTAATTAATAGCAGGGCATGAGGATGATAATGACAGACGAAGGAAGCAACAGTGCACATAAACAGTGATTGTCTACAATGGCCAGGTACTGGTCTAAGTGCTTTCTATGTATCCTGTTTAATTCTCCTAGCACCTAAATGAGCTAATTGCTGTTATTGTCTTTATTTTGCAGATGAGAAAACCAAGGCACGGGGGGTTACGTTACTTGGCCAAGGTTATACAACTAGTAAGTGATAGAACCAGATCTGAACCCTTGGCAGTATTGCTGCAGGATCTTCATAATAAAGGAGGGAAATCTAGGGAAATTTGGTAAAAATACCCTTGAGCTTGGACTCAGTTAATTAGGCTCAATAGTTAGGAAGTGTGCTAACCCATTATGGTAAAGAGAAAACAAACAGACCATAGAGGTGTAATGTTGGAAGGCAGAGTGTCCAATCAGAATACTATACTATGGATTAGGTGAATGCGAGGGAACAGGAAGCAGATACATTATACAGTGAGACGTGTTATATAGTTAGTCATTGAGTTTCACTTTGATAAGCCCAGAAAGCAGTTCACTTTCCCTACACACATGAAAGCTGCCCCAAAATGCCTAAAGAGTGGACATACTCTATTGAGATAGAGATGAGCAGTGATTTTCAAGGGGGTAGATGACGTTCAACACCCCCCGCCACCATATATTAGAGTTAGTGGAGGTGTCACATCACACACATGCCATTCTCTCCCTTTCTGTTTTGTTTCCCTAAGGGGCCTTGTTCCTGTCTAACTCCCTCCCACTGCTGGGAAACATTTACTCCCTTGGACCACTTTCTTTTTAATGTATGTATGTGTTAAAATTATGTATATGCACTGTGAAAAATTTAGCAACAGAAGTATACCGAATGAAAAGGGAAAGTTTCCCTCCCATTAGTATCTTGCTGCCTTGAGAGACCTCTTTTAAAAGTTCAATTGTAGATGAAACTACTGTTACTAATGGAAGTATGCTGGGATTCCCTTGTGGTTATTGAGATAGAAAAAATACTGAGAGTCATTTTCCTAAGGCCAAGTTCCACAGCCACGAATGGAAGGAACTTCCTGGGATGATGCAGGATCTTCATCAGTGGAGGTATAAGAAGAGACTCGGTAGGGGTGCTAGAAAGAAGATTCAGACACTGGCTGGGGTTGGTGGAATTGGAGGCAGGGAAGGAGGAGACATTGAACTAAATGGCTTTTACTGTTCCTTCCAAACCTGTAGTTCTGTGTTATACCATCTGACCGATTACCAAGCACAAAGGAAAAGACACCAATGTGACTGGCATGGATAACTTGAGTGGACAACAAAATAATATAAGAGAAAATCCAATGTATAAAATCCAGATTTATACAACAAGTTATTTTGCAGTAAAACATTTAGCTTATTTTAATAAAGGTTTCTTTAAAAGTTAAACTAACCATCTTGGTGTGCTCAAAATAGACTTCAATTTTTATTAAAAATTCCATTTACACTAAATTTTGTGTAAAATAAAAGCACACATTGTTCATTATTTCAAAGAAAGAAGATATTTCAGGTTATCTGCCTGGTTTTAAGTTGTAACAGATACAGAGGAAGTAATTGGGCTGGTGCCTTGATGCCACTGCCTATAGACTCACAATATGATAGAACTTAAAAGGGATCTTACAGATCATGAATGAAGTTCAGCCCCTTTATTTTACAAATGAGGAAAGTAAAACCAAAGATGGTGTGTTCCTGGCTCATTCTCACAGTAGCCTAACTGGAACTTGACTCTCAAAGATTAGAGAGAAGGTCTGTAAAGTGCCTGCCATGGTGTCAGTACACAGTAGATGCAGAAGCAAAAGGGAAAGAAGAAGAAGATGATGATGCTATTATTTCTTCTGCCCCCACATCACACTTCTGTGAGCCTTCAGAGGAGAAGTTGGTACTGTAGAAATATATAATGTCCATGCTGCAAACCTAAAGTTGTACAGTGTTGAAATGATGAAATCAGGAGATCCATACCCCATAAAATTATAGGATCTCAGATTTGGAAAGGCCTTTGAAGGATACCTAGTGCAGCCTCCCTCTTCCTTTTCATGATTTAATACTTCCATCAAGAAGTTATCGTACTTCTGCTTCCATACCCTCCATGATGGCACATTCATACCTTTCCTCCCCAGATACCTCTGACTGCCAGAAAGTTCTTCCTAGTAATGAGCTGAAGCCTGTCTACCTATAGCTTCCACCCACTAGTTCTAGTTCTGTCCCTTGGGGTACTATTGAACAAAGTAGAGCAAATCTCATCTCTCCTCTACAGAACACACCAGGTATTTGCAAACAGCTCTCCTGTTTCCCCTGAGTCTTCTCCTGGTTAAACCTCCACAGTTTCTTACACCTTTACTCTCTTTGTTGCTTTCTTTTGAATAGGATTGTGTGCCTAGATCTCATTCAGAGTATAGGGTCTAGATTTGAACATAAAACTCCACCTCCAAAGTGTTCTGACTGGCAGAATAGATCATCCAATACTGTTATCTCCTTTTTTCTGGATACTGATGGGAATGATGGTGGTGGTGGTTGTGCATTACTTAGTTCATGACATCAGATCCATCTGTGTCTGCCAAGAAGTATGATGTGGTACCACTGGTCCACAAAACTTCTTCCCTGTTCAGGAAACATGAGCCAGAAAATTTGTAGAAAGCATTAGCCTCTCTTATGCTCTGGATCACACTTCTGTAAGCCTCTGGGAAGGGTACGCATTATACATAGTTGAAGTCTGCTAGGACTGCCTGCAAGACAAAGGGAGTTATGGCCTCTCTGCATTTTCATTAGCCATTCATTGCTAACTGCTTTGCTTGTTAAAGGAAATACTGATGTTCTCTGGGGTTCTTCTCTCTGTGTGCACATGCAGAGATGTATAATTGCTACAGAGGGAGTGGGGGCAGGGATGATTGCCAAGGAGAGATCTGTTCCATCTTTGTTCACATCTGCTGCATGCACAAGACAGGATTTATTGCTCTCCACGAGAAAGGGATTGCCTAGCTTGCTTCCCCTTCCCCGTCTTCTGGCAGATCATCCCAGAGGAATATTACCATCTCATCACACTTCTCTCTGAAAAAGTAAATGAAGGAGAGCTGGAGGCAGAGAATCAGCTAAAAGGCACTAATCAGCTAAAAGGCTAATCAGTGGTACATCCCAGACTAGTCACTTGTCTGTCTCCTGCCTCCTCTGTAGCTTGTCCTCCATGGCCGCAGTGGGGTAGGTGTTCTGCTCCCAGCTTTTCCTTTTTGAGCTCTATGCTTATCGGCATAGGATTATGGTTTATTAAAATCACAACTGTTCTCTAACATTTAAAGAGTTCTGTCTTAATGGGTGTTCGGAAGTACATTTGATGTGTCTTTTTTCTGTTTTCTGAGAAAAACATCCCTTCTCCTCTGTCACTTCTTCCCTTCCGCTCTACCCTCTCTCCCTCTCTCACTGACATGTGCATGGAAGCCTGCTCGCTTCTTTTGTGTTTTCCAAGCTCTATGAATATTTAAAACTTGGTACCTTTGGACATCCTCCATTTAATCTAGTTTTGCCTCATTAAATCCCAGACTATGCTTAATATTAATTCAGTGTCCAGATCAAGCTAATAAGCATCAGTGCTTCAGTTTTTACTGTAGTAAAGTGGGTAGAATATCTAAGTTGGGCTACTTTATGTTAGAAGCATTTATGAGGTTTCTTTCTTAGTGTTTTTGTTTTTTGTTGTGGTTTTTTTTTGGAGAGAAGCAGTGTAGTTAAGAGCATAGTTTCAGATACTGGCTATTCTAGTGACTATAACCTTTTAGAAAGTTATTCAACCTCTCTGGGTATTATTTCCTCATTAGGTAAAAAGGGGTAATGATAGCATACTAAGTGGTATCACACTGGTGAAGATTTAACAAGATGGTTTTATTGAAATAATTAGCACAATATCTGGTACGTAGTAAACAATAATAGCTATATAATGTTAATAATTATTAAGATATAAATGATAATTTATAACTAAATTGTTTTCTTAATATATGAAGAATTTCTTCTACTTTTCCTTGCTTCAGGGGATGATGGCCTATTATGATTGTTTTGCCACGTGTTGAAAGGATGCTTCTATAGCCTTGTAAATTTTTCTGCTACATGTGATTTTTCTCTCAAGGGTTTCCAGAAATACCAGAATCTTTACATCCTCTAGATCTTGCACTATCCAATACAGTCACCGCCAGCCACATGTGTGTATTTAAATTTAATAAAAATTGAATACAAACAAAAATGGAACTCTTAGTCACACATTTGAAGTGCTAAAGAGCCACATGTGGCTAATGACTGCGCATTAGATAATACAGAACATCTCTGACATCAAAGAAAGTTCTACAGGACAGCACTGGTCTGTGCTCTTGTGCTCTTTTCTCAGAAATCAAAGAGGCTGTATTTTCTAGGATGTTCCACAGATTTTTCTCTTAATGTTTCAGGGCTCCAGACATGCATTTTGAGGTTTCAGGTTACTCTTCTTATTCCAGCTTCTTAGTGTCATTACAGTCTTTTGGAATAAATATAGGCACTTCTACTTCCCCCAAGAAGATTGCATTATGAGAATTTTCTAAAGGTCCAGTCTGCAGTAAGAGGAAGCCAGAGGGAGAAGAGGCAAAGTAGAAGTAATTCTAGCAGATATTTCTTAGAGTCATTACTCAAAAACTGAGCATTTGAATCCTTAGGGGCCAACTAGTAATAGGAGGCTCTAATGTCCTCTGTCCTCTTTATAAATACATTGTATGATTTCAGGATCTTACTTTTCCCTCTGAGAAAGGTAGCAAAAAGCAAATTTTTCCTTAATAATCCCTATTAACTATATTACGTGCTTTTAAAGGCATTTTTTTCATTTGTTCTTCCCAACAACCTAGTAATGCAAGTAGCATTGGGATTATCATCCCTATTTTACTGATAAGAAAACTGAGGCTCGGTGCAGTTAAGTTAGTTGCCTAAACTCTTTAAGGGAAAATACAGTTGACACTCAAAACAGGATAGAATATAGAATTTTAACTTCCAACATGGTATTTGTTTTGTTTTTATTTTGTTTTGCTTTATTTTACTACCAGTCAGACTATGGTAAAAGAAAGAGTGAAGATTCTTTAGGGCAACTTGGAAACTGGAGAGTGTTGCATGAGGCAGGTGCTCTAAAAGAATTACAGCCTCATTTGTCCTATGAACATGTGTGTTAGTCTGCTCAGACTTTCTTTTTTTTTTAAAGATTTTTTTTTTATTTATTTGACAGAGAGAGACAGTAATAGAGGGAACACAAACAGGGGGAGTGGGAGAGGGAGAAGCAGGCTCCCCGCTGAGCAGGAGCCCGATGTGGGGCTCGATCCCAGGACCCCGGGATCATGACCTGAGCCGAAGGCAGACGCTTAATGACTGAGCCACCCAGGCACCCCAGTCTGCTCAGACTTTCATAAAAAAATATGACTGGCTGGGTGGCTTAACCAACAGAAATTAATTTTCTCATGTTTCTAGTCTGGATGTCCAAGGTCAAGATGCTAGCAGGGTTTGTTTCTGGTCAGGCCTCTTCTCAGCTTATAGACAAGCACTTCTTTGGCCATGTCCTCACCTGGCCTTTTTCTCTGTATGTGTTTGTGGAGAGAGAGGGAGGGGGAGAGATCTCTGATGTCTCTTTCCCATCTTATGAGGACAAATTAGGGCCCCACCCTTATGACCTCATTTAACCTTAGTTACCTCCTTGAATGTCCTATCTCCAAATACAGTCTCATTGGGAGTTAGGATTTTAACATAGGAATTGTGGGAGAGCACATTCAGTCCTTAACACCGTGTTAATGGATTTTTAGTATCTTTTGAGTTTTTGGTTTAACCTGGTTAGTTGGAAATTATATATATATGCAGTATTTGCCTGGGACCAAATGTAGCAAATACCTGTATTCTTGATTTCTGTGAATACTGGGGCTTAGTTAAATTAAACCTGTGGTACTTGTTATAAGGTACTACCCAACCCTGGGATATTCTAATAAGCAAAAAAGATTTATCTAAATGTCCTACTTTTAAAATAATGTAGCCAGATTGTAAATACTTAAGTCTCAGTACTTTAAGGGGTAATATGTGTCCTCCTTCCTCCCACCCCCATTTTACAGATGGAGAAATTAACATACAGAGAAACTGACTTGTCAGAGGTCAGAGTAAGGTATTGGTGGACCCAGGGATAAATCCCAAACGTCTTAATTCCTTGACCAGTTTTAAGTCCATTGACTATGCAGCCTAGTGGTAAGTATCTTTTTACCCTTTTCTGAAGGTAAGAGGGATTAAGAGATTTAGCAAGGACTGACTCTAAGGAATTCCTCATTACTAATTATATCATTCATTATCCATTTCTTTTAGCCATGATGTCTTTTTTGTCATTTTTGTCATCAGTTTTTCAGGCCGTGGAAGGAATTGGAAGTTTTACTTTTTAAATTCCTAAAGATATTTCTGTAACAGTTCAGCCACACTTGAGATTATTGTTAAGAAAGAAAAATTATTATTATTTTAATGAATTTAATGAATTATTTAAGGAATTTGTTCTCTACATTAGGCACCCTGTTAGACATTTCGTCTAGCATTTAAATATTATTTAAATGTCACTAAAACTTATAGCCATTTCAGGAAGGTATGTATTCTTGCCATTTTTATAGTGTTAGTTTTAATATTGTGAGTTGAACTTAATAAAACATCTCTTAAGTTTCAGAGTTTAGATTCTAAAGAAAATTTTAGCTTTGTAGAAACTAAGAACCTTATCAAGAATCTTTAAATATAAAATCTCTATTTTAAGCATAGGTTTTGTGGTTTATTATGTCTTATCTCTTTTTTTTATCCTTTGCTTGGGATTTTCTGAGGTGGGATGATTTGTCTTATCTGAGATTAAGTTAAGCTTGCTCTTCACTTGACACTAAAATCATGAGAGTTTCTCTTAAAGCCTTTTCTTCTATCTCTACATCTAAATAGTTAGGATTCCTTTAACTACTAGGGAGGTTGAACAACTAAGCCATGTGAAAAGCAAGAGTGTAATGAGCCTTCAGAGCCAAGGTCCCATAGGCCAATTAGTATATTCTCTCCTCTGTCCCTCACCTCTACTTCTCGGCCCATTGGCTTCTTTTTGCTCATTGTAGATCTACTTCCTCTATTATAGTGAAAAATACAGCCACTGACGTTAGCCACATTTTACTTCTCTGAGAATACCCCCTAACATGCCTCCTGCACACTGAACTACAGTTGCCCAGCATGGCACTGTCCAACAGAAACAGAATGCAAGTCGCATATGAGATTTTAAAGTTTCTAGGAGCCACATTAAAAAAGGTAAAGAAGAAACAGAGGAATTAATTTTAATAATTATTTTATTTAACTTAGTGTATCTAAAATACTATTTTGACACATAACCAATATAAAAATACATAATGAGCTATTCTGCATTCCTTTTTTCCCTCCTCAGTCTTCAGAATCTGGTGTATGTTTTACAGTTATAGCACATCTCAATTTGGACACCAAGTTTTGTCAGAAATACTTGATCTGCATTTAGATTTCAACAATTTTCAATTGAAAAAGTAGATTCTCATACCCAGTTTTATTCCAAACAAGATAGGGGGATGAGGTAACTGGGTGATGGGCATTAAGAAGGGCACACAATGTAATGAGCACTGGGTGTTAACTGATGAATCACTAAATTCTACCTATGAAACTAATAAAAGGTTTTCCCCATAACCGTATTGAATGTCAGTTATGAATTTAAATTAATAAAAAATTAAAACAAAATTAAATATTTACTTCCTTAGTCATACTAGCCACATTTCAGGTGCTGCATATGGTTAGTGGCTACCATACTGGACAGAGCAAGTCTAACATAATGCTTCATAGCACCATTTCTTTCTTTACATTATTCCCTCTCTGTGATATACTTTTCTTATTACTCCATCCCCAAGACTCAGTTCCTTTTCCATGGTCTTAATTTCTCCTCCTACCCTCTCCCCAGATAGAACTGGCTCCTCCCCTCTCCTCTACCTTCTGATCCCATGTGTACTTTTAATGTAGTACCTATAATACTTTATCACACTTACCTAGGTATCTTTCTCCCTCTTCTATACTGAAGGGAGAGTACCTTGTTATTTTTTGAATCCCCCATTACCTGGCACAGGGCTGGAACCTATGTGTAGTTAAAGAATTTTTGTTTAAAGAGTGAATGAATATAATTTCAGTCTGGAAATAGGAAAGGCTTTAGAGGGTTATTTTGAAAATAGCAAATTGGAGGGGCACCTGGGTGGCTCAGTCAGTTAAGCATCTACCTTTGGCTCAGGTCATGATCCCGGGGTCCTGGGATCAAGCCCTGCATTGTCGGGCTCCCTGGGGAGCCTGCTTCTCCCTCTCCCCTGCTTGTGCTCTCTCTCTCTGTCTCTCTAATAAATAAATAAAATCTTAAAAAAAGAAAATAGAAAATTAGAAATAGAATTTAAATGTCAAATTGAACAAGATTTAATAGGAAGCAGTCCACTGTCTTTTAAGCCTGTGACGTTGCATTCATTCATTCATTTCATGGACTTAGACACATGAGATATAAAGGAGAATAAGACATAATTTAAACTGCTAAATAGTTCATAGTTGGGATGTGTGCATGTGCTCAAACACACACAAACACACAAGATATGGATGCATTGCTGTCTCATAATATTGTTTGTTGCTTGGGAAATAAAACTCCAAGGTTGAAGAGGATCTTAGAAGTTTATGTAATTGATCCCTTTCCAACGCATAAATTCCTTCTCAGCTTTGAAAAGCTTCAGCATCTTTGTCGATAAGTGGTCATCCAGCCTTTCTGGTTGTACTCTTTAGGGAATGACTAACCCATCCTCTGCAGGATAGCTCTCCCTGCCATGAAGTCTCATTCTGACATCTGCTTCCCTGCAGTGAGCGCTATTTCAAGTGCCTCCAGTCAAAAGATCACATTTTGTGGAACCTTTGGTTTAGAATGTCAGTGTCATGAGAAGCAGGAGTTTTTATCTGTTTAGTGATCTATCTTCAGTGCCTGACAAATAGCAGATAATAAATGTTTGTTGAATTAATAAGTCTGTAGAAACAGGATTCAGACATTAATTCAATTCAGTTTTTTATTTGTGAACTATTATTGCATATCTTTCATTACTGTTGCCTGACCAAGCCTTCCCCTCCATGGCACTGTTAAACTTTCTGGGCCCCAGATTCTTACTCTTCACCTGCAAATAGATATTGGTAATACCTGAGATGATCTATATGAAAATGCCTGGTGCTGGGTCTGGTATATGGTAATGATAGGTGTTAGTTGAATCTGAAATGGAATCGGTACGGCAACCTCTGAGCCTCCTGACATCCCAGAAATGCAAGTCCATTTTTTTATTAATTGAATTTTTTAAATTGTGGTAAAAGGGGCACCTGGGTGGCTCAGTAGGTTAAGTGTCTGCCTTTGGCTCAGGTCATGACCCCGGGGTCCCGGGATCGAGCCCTGCTTCACTTCGGGGCTCCTGTTCAGCTGGGAGTCTACTTCTCCCTCTCCCTCTGCCCCTCCCACTCATGCTCCCTCTCTTGCTCTCTTTCTCTCTCAAATAAATAAATAAAGTCTTTTAAAAAATTGTGGTAAAAGACATAAACTTGAAATTTACCATTTTAACCATTTTTAAGTGTACAGTTCAGTAGCATTGAGTACATTCACATAGTTGTGCAACCATTTCCACCATCCATCTGCAGAACTTTTTTCATCTTGCAAAACTGAAACTGAAACTCTGTACTCATTAAATGATAGTAAGCACATTTTTAATATTAACCTAAGTATTGAAATAGTAAATCTGTGTGGAACAAAATTCCAAAATCAATATATAAATGACTTCTCTGTCTGCAGTTTTAGATGAACTGTTTTTAATTATTCCTTACTTAACATGAATAATTGATATCTAATTATAGTGGATTCTGTATCTAAGTATCCATTTACATGTCAAAATTGTTTTGATGAAAGTTTGCATTTAAACATTGACTTCTTAATATGTGTGATTTTCTCACATTGCATAACTGTTTCTGAGTTTGGTAAAAAGACAAACTTTTTTTTTCCTGTTTTTTTTTTTCTTTTTCTTTTTTTGAGTGCTTGCTGTGTGCCAAGCTCCACGAATACTGACTAGATTAGTAGCATTGAGCTCTGACACTGTGGAGCAGGTATAGAAGTGGGAGGTAGAGATCATGCTCCGCTTAGGGATGTTGCCAGAAAGCTATTATGAAGTAATATTTATCCTGGACCATGGTGAATAAATAGGAATCTCCCAAGTAGAGAAGTGGGGGGAAAGTCCAGATGCAGAAAACAGTGTGGCGTGTTTATTAGGGATACAGTTAGGTTTTGATCTTTGAAGACTTTTAAAGGAACAATGACAAGTTTAATCTGTATTTTAGAAAATGAGTGCTCAAGTATGGATTGGAGAGGGATGAGGTCCCACACGGTACTGAAGTAATTGTTTCTGTCAGGCAGGTGAGAGAGAATGAAATCTTAAACTCGCAATGGGAGCAGAGGAGACGGTCCTTTCAGAGGGAGAACTGACAGATTTTGATAACTGGTTGGCTCTGGAGGACAAGAGAGGACAATTAAGGAGGACTCCAGGTTTCTGATTTGTCGCTTTTAACTGGGAGAGGAAAGACCGGAGAAGAAATATACTGCCTGAGGAGAGAGAATAAAATAAAACTGGTTATTTAAAAATAGTAGCTACACATCATAATGTATTTCGAAACATGGCCATTAATCTTAGAATGCTTGAAAAATAACTGCTCCTTTTTATGTGTGTGTGTGGAATTCTATCAGAGGCTGCATTCTGTTCATTTAAGAATTGATTCAAGAATGATTGATTCCCTAATCTACTGAGTAATTTATGGTGATGCTTAAGAATTAAGCAGTTTGTAATGCATGTAGTTGTCTCCTTTTCTTCTTTGGGGACTGCTTCCCAGGTTCCACTTGTTTGTGCCAGGAGTTTCAAATATTTCTTCTCAGAAGTTCATTTTTCATTGTCTTGTGGGGCCTTATTTGATGCCTTTCTGCCCAGTTAAGTTTGTTAATTATTTTGTTCATTTTGCTTCATCATTGAGTCTGGCTTTTGTTTTTTCTCTTTACTAGAATTTTTTTTCCTAAATTGTATTGGTTGCTTTTGAATTGTTTTATTAATTTTATTTGTGATCTTATAGCCTGCTTTCTATTTATTGTGGCTTCCTGAATCTGTTTTGTGTATACTGGTAGTTCATCTTTTTTTTTTCTTTATAATTTTATTTTGTTAGTCACCATATAGTACATCATTGGTTTTTGATGTAGTGTTCCATGATTCATTGTTTGCTTATAACACCCAGTACTCCATGCAGTACATGCCCTCCTTAATATCCATCACCAGGCTAACACATCCCTCCAACACCCTCTCCTCTAAAACCCTCAGTTTGTTTCTCAGAGTCCATAGTCTATCATGGTTCATCTCCCCCTCTGATTTCCCCCCTTCATTTTTCCCTTCCTACTATCTTTTTTTTTATTTTTTTATTGTTATGTTAATCACCATATATTACATCATTAGTTTTTGGTGCAGTGTTCCATGATTCATTGTTTGTTCATAACACCCAGTGCTCCATGCAGAATGTGCCCTCCTCAATACCCATCACCAGGCTAACCCATCCCCCTACCCCCCTCCCCTCTAGAACCCTCAGTTTGTTTTTCAGAGTCCATCATCTCTCATGGTTCATCTCCCCCTCTGACATACTCCCCTTTTCTTCCTCTCCTCTTATCTTCTTTTCTTTTTTCTTAAAATATGTTGCGTTATTTGTTTCAGAAGTACAGATCTGTGATTCAACAGTCTTGCACAATTCACAGCGCTCACCGTAGCACATACCCTCCTCAATGTCTATCACCCAGCCACCCCATCCCTCCCACCCCCAACCACTCCAGTAACCCTCAGTTTGTTTCCTGAGATTAAGAATTCCTCATATCAGTGAGGTCATGTGATACATGTCTTTCTCTGATTGACTTATTTCACTCAGCATAACACCCTCCAGTTCCATCCACGTCGTTGCAAATGGCAAGATCTCATTCCTTTTGATGGCTCCATAATATTCCATTGTGTATATATACCACATCTTCTTTATCCATTCATCTGTCAATGGGCATCTTGGCTCTTTCCACAGTTTGGCTATTGTGGACATTGCTGCTATAAACACTGGGGTGCACGTACCCCTTCGGGTCCCTACATTTGTATCTTTGTGGTAAATACCCAGTAGTGCAATTGCTGGATCGAACGGTAGCTCTAATTTCAACTGTTTGAGGAACCTCCATACGGTTTTCCAGAGTGGTTGCACCAGCTTGCATTCCCACCAACAGTGTAGGAGGGTTCCCCTTTCTCCACATCCCCGCCAACATCTGTCGTTCCCTGACTTGTTAATTTTAGCCATTCTGACGGGTGTGAGGTGGTATCTCATTGAGGTTTTGATTTGGATTTCCCTGATGCCGAGCGATGTTGAGCACTTTTTCATGTGCCTGTTGGCCATTTGGATGGCTTCTTTGGAAAAATGTCTGTTCATGTCTTCTGCCCATTTCGTGATTGGATTATTTGTTCTTTGGGTGTTGAGTTTGATAAGTTCTTTATAGATTTTGGATACTAGCCCTTTATCTGATATGTCATTTGGAAATATTTTCTCCCATTCTGTTGGTTGTCTTTTGGTTTTGTGGACTGTTTCTTTTGCTGTGCAAAAGCTTTTTATCTTGATGAAATCCCAATAGTTCATTTTTGCCCTGGCTTCCCATGCCTTTGGCGATGTTTCTAGGAAGAAGTTGCTGCGGCTGAGGTCGAAAAGGTTGCTACCTGTGTTCTCCTTTAGGATTTTGATGGACTCCTGTCTCACGTTTAGGTCTTTCAACCATTTGGAGTCTATTTTTGTGTGTGGTGTAAGGAAATGGTCCAGTTTCATTCTTCTGCATGTGGCTGTCCAATTTTCCCAACACCATTTGTTGAAGAGACCGTCTTTTTTCCATTGGACATTCTTTCCTGCTTTGTCAAAGATGAGTTGACCATGGAGTTGAGGGTCCATTTCTGGGCTCTCTATTCTGTTCCATTGATCTATGTGTCTGTTTTTGTGCCAGTACCATACTGTCTTGATGATGACAGCTTTGTAATAGAGCTGGAAGTCCGGAATTGTGATGCCGCCAGCTTTGCTTTTCTTTTTCAGTATTCCTCTGGCTATTCTGGGTCTCTTCTGGTTCCATACAAATTTTAGGATTATTTGTTCCATTTCTTTGAAAAAAATGGATGGTATTTTGATGGGGATTGCATTGAATGTGTAGATTGCTCTAGGTAGCATTGACATCTTCACAATGTTGATTCTCCCAATCCATGAGCATGGAACGTTTTTCCATTTCTTTGTGTCTTCTTCAATTTCTTTCATGAGTATTTTATAGTTTTCTGAGTACAGATCCTTTGCCTCTTTGGTTAGATTTATTCCTAGGTATCTAATGGTTTTGGGTGCAATTGTAAATGGGATAGACTCCTTGATTTGTCTCTCTTCTGTCTTGTTGTTGGTGTATAGGAATGCCACTGATTTCTGTGTATTGATTTCATATCCTGCTACTTTACTGAATTCCTGTAGGAGTTCTAGCAGTTTTGGGGTGGAGTCTTTTGGGTTTTCCACATACAGTATCATATCATCTGCAAAGAGTGAGAGTTTGACTTCCTCTTTGCCGATTTGGATGCCTTTGATTTCTTTTTGTTGTCTGATTGCTGTGGCTAGGACTTCTAATACTATGTTGAATAGCAGTGGTGAGAGTGGACATCCCTGCCGCGTTCCTGACCTTAGGGGAAAAGCTCTCAGCCTTTCCCCATTGAGAATGATATTCGCTGTAGGTTTTTCATAGATGGCTTTTATGATATTGAGGTATGTACCCTCTATCCCTATACTCTGAAGAGTTTTGATCAAGAAAGGATGTTGTACTTTGTCAAATGCTTTTTCTGCATCTATTGAGAGGATCATATGATTCTTGTTCTTTCTTTTGTTAATGTATTGTATCACGTTGATTGATTTGCGGATGTTGAACCAGCCTTGCAGCCCAGGAATAAATCCCACTTGGTCATGGTGAATAATCCTTTTAATGTACTGTTGGACCCTATTGGCTAGTATTTTGGTGAGAAATTTTGCATCCATGTTCATCAAGGATATTGGTCTGTAATTCTCTTTTTTGATGGGGTCTTTGTCTGGTTTTGGGATCAAGGTAATGCTGGCCTCATAAAATGAGTTTGGAAGTTTCCCTTCCATTTCTATTTTTTGGAACAGTTTCAGGAGAATAGGTATTAATTCTTCTTGAAATGTCTGATAGAATTCCCCCGGGAAGCCGTCTGGCCCTGGGCTTTTGTTTCTTGGGAGATTTTTGATGACTGTTTCAATTTCCTTAGTGGTTATAGGTCTGTTCAGGTTTTCTATTTCTTCCTGGTTCAATTTTGGTAGTTGATACATCTCTAGGAATGCACCCATTTCTTCCAGGTTCTCTAATTTGCTGGCATAGAGTTGCTCATAATATGTTCTTATAATTGTTTGTATTTCTTTGGTGTTGGTTGTGATCTCTCCTCTTTCATTCATGATTTTGTTG